GGAGGAGGCGCTCCCAAGCGATAGCCCCATGCTGAACATGAGCCGCCATTCATCCTTGCAGCTGCCACACACTCCAAGCCGCTGGGCGCAGCCTTCGAGGAGAGCTTCAGCGATGCCCGCATGCTGAAAAAGGGTCCTTGTGGCCGTTCCAGGCTTTTGAGACACATTCGCGCGGCGCTTAGGCGAGATCCCCATGTTGTAAACGACCCTTATATCTTCACTTGTGCTGCACGCTTTCAAGACGAGTGTGCGCGTCGCTATGACGAACACCCCATGAGGAACAAGACCCCCTTCATGTGTCCAGTTGTTGGGAATTTCAAGCTTGACCATCGTACGTGGTGAGGAGATCTCCAGCGCAACGCCCAGCCCGCCCCACCGACATGCTTGGTAGCGTGGCAGGGGGGAGGGGATCACCTATAAGGAAAAGGGGAATGGCAGAGGCGGGGAATAAGCAGGATGCTGATGATGATGGTGATGATGATGATTTTGATGCTGCTGCTGCTGATGATGCTGCTGCTGATGATGATGATGATGCTGCCGCTGATGCTGTCGCTGATGATGCTGATGATGCTGCTGCTGATGATGATTCTGATGATTCTGATGATGCTGTTGCTGACGATCGTGATGATGATGATGCTGATGCACATGCGGTTGATGCTGATGATGATGCTGATGATGGATGCTGATGGTGATGATGCTGCTGCTGCTGATGATGATTCTGATGATTCTGATGATGCTGTTGCTGACGATGGTGACGATGATGATGACCATGCTGCTGATGCTGATGATGGATGGTGATGATGACGATGCTGCTGATTATGATGATGAGGACGATGCTGAGGATGATGATGTTGGTGCTGCTGCTGATGATGATGGTGCTGAGCCTGATAATGATGACGATGCTGATGCTGCTGCTGATGATGCTGATGATGCTGATGATGCTGCTGCCGCGGCTTCCGCTGATGATGCTGATATGGCTGATAATGCTGCTGCTGCTGATGCTGACAATGCTGGCGATGCTGATTATGCTGATGCTGATGTTGATGATGATGATGATGATGATGATGATGATGATGCTGATGCTGATGCTGATGCTGATGCTGATACTGATGAGGATGATGATGATACTGATGATGATACTGATGCCGATGATGATGATGGGGATGATGATGATGATGACGCTGATGCTGCTGATGCTGATGACGGTGCTGATGCTGCGGCTGATGATTCTGATGATGATGATGAGGATTCCGCTGATGATGCTGATGATGACGACGATGAGGATGACGATGCTGATGCTGATGATTATGATGCTGCTCATGATGATGCTGATGTTGACGATGCTGATGATGATGATGCTGCTGCTGCTGATGATGATGATGCTGATGCTGATTCTTCTTCTTCTGCTTATTAGTATTCTCATCATTATTCGTATTATGATGATGGTGATGATGATGATGATGATGATGAGGATGATGATGCTGATGATGATGATGATGATGATGACGCTGCTGCTGCTGCTGCTGATGATGATGATGATGATAATTATGATGATGATGATGATGATGATGATGATGATGATGATGATGATGATGATGATGATGATGATGATGATGATGATGATGATGATGATGATGATGATGATGATGATGATGATGATGATGATGATGATGATGATGATGATGATGATGATGAGATGATGATGATGATGATGATGATGTGATGATGCTGCTGCTGATGCTGCTGCTGCTGCTGATGATGATGATGATATGATGATGATGATGAGGAAGGAGGAGAGGAGGAGGAGGAGGAGAGGAGGAGGAGAGGAGGGAGGAGGAGGAGGAGGAGGAGGAGGAGGAGGAGGAGGAGGAGGAGGAGGATGGGGAGGAGGAGGAGGAAGGAGGAGGAGGAGGAGGAGGCAGGAGGAGGAGGAGGAGGAGGAGGAGTGCCAATGAGGGAGGACAATCGGGGGGAGGAGGGAGGGGAGGGGGAGAAGGGGGAGGAGGAGGACGAGTGGGATGGTCATAGGGAGGGCGATGGGCAAGGGAAGAGCGATTGGATGAGGGCAATGGCGGGTGGTTCGCGAGGGCGGGATATGGGAGAGGGGAATGGAACATGAACGGATATGTGAAGGATTCTGGGGGAGAGGGAAGGCTTGAGAAGGGGAAATGAGGGGATGAAGGTTGAGGAGGAGGAGGAGGAGGAGGAGGAGGAGGAGGAGGAGGAGGAGGAGGAGGAGGAGGGGGAGGGGGGAGGAAGGAGGAGGGAGGAGGGAGCAGGGAGGAGGGAGGAGGGAGGATGGAGGAGGAGGGAGGGAGGAGGGAAGGAGGTAGGGAGGGCAGGAGGAGGAGGAGGAGGAATAACAGGAAGACGAATCATAATCATAATCTTCATACTAGTAACAATACTTCGAAAAATATGAAGACGAGGAAATGGTGGAGGAGGAGGATGAGGAGGACGGGTGGGAACCCAAGACGCATTCATCATGTTGCAATAAGCCTCTCTCCAAGTTCGCTCCTAGTAGTCCCTACAGGCATTGAAGGACCCTATTGGCAGACAGCCGTCTTAAAATGCTATATCGTGCCAGAGCGCCATTCTTGGGACTTCAACGCCGCGAATCAACGTACTTGTTGCGTCCTGGCAATCCTCGATCGTGCCGGAACACCATTCACACCGCGAATCAGCGTCACTGTTGCGATTTGGCAGTCCCAAATCGTGCTTGCACACCATTCATGGTACTTGGGCCACCCGACTCCTTAAAACGGGCGCGGCGATACGGCGAGAGACACATCCGGAAAAGGACTTGCCCGCCATCCTTGAAGCTGTGGCAGACTTTTAAGACGAATGTGTACGAGCTAAGGTCGATATCGGTTAACCGATCCCCATCCCCATCCCCATCCCCTTCGGGACCCCCACCAAATTACCGCCCCAGTTGGAGATACACCCCTCGAGACCCGAAGGGGATGGCCTATGGCCCCATCTAGGAGGGTAAATCGGCCAGTGGGGCCCAGGCCACGCCGCCGGGCATGGGGATCGGTTAAACGATACTCAAAGGCGAGGGCCACATGTTGGAAAGGACGTGCCCTCCATCTATGCAAAATGTTGCGAAGTTGTAAGACGAATGTGCGCGGCGCTAAGGCGAGGGCCACATACTGGAAAAGGTTCTGCCCTACATCTTTGAAACAGGTTGCGAACTTGTAAGACGAATGTGCGCGGTTCTTAGGCGAGGGCCGCATGTTGGAAAGAACCTGCTCTCTATCTTTGAAAAAGGTTGCGAACGTGTAAGGCGAATGTGCGCGTCGCTAAGGCGAGGGCCGCATGTTGAAAAGGATTTGCCCTCCATCTTTGAAAAAGGTTCGCGAACTTGTAAGGCGAATGTGCGCGGCGCTTAGGCGAGGGCCCCATGTTGGAAAGGATCTGCCCTCTATCTTTGAAACAGGTTGCGAACTTGTACGGCGCTAAGGCGAGGGCCACATATTGGAAAGTTTCTGCCCTCCTTTTTGAATCATGTTGCGAACTTGTAAGACGGTTGTGCGCGGCGCTAAGGCGAGGGACACATGTTGGAAAGGATCTGCCTTCCATAAAGGTTGCGAACATGTGAGACGAATGCGCGCGCCGCTAAGGCGATAGCCACGTTCTGAAAAAAGGACCTGCCCGTCTATCGTTGAAATGTGCGGCGCCACGGCGAGAGCCACATTTTGAAAACGATCTGCCCTCCATCATTGGCACTGCTGGGTATCTCGAGCTTTAGGGATCATAGGCGGTGAGGAAGTTTCCGGCGACACGCCAGGCCCGAGCTGCCCACGCGTCTGGGGGTGCGACAGGGAGGGGTTGTTGAGAAAAAAAAGGGATGGAGTAGGAGGAGGAGGAGGAGGAGGAGGAGGAGGAGGAGGAGGAGGAGGAGGACGAGGAGGAGGAGGAGAGGAGGAGGAGCAGGAGGAGGAGGAGGAGGAGGGCAGGAGGAGGAGGAGGACGAGGAGGAGGAGGAGGACGAGGAGGAGGAGGACGAGGAGGTGGAGGAGGAGGAGGAGGAGGAGGAGGAGGAGGAGGAGCAGGAGGACGAGGAGGAGGAGGAGGCAGGAGGAGGAGGAGGAGGAGCAGCACTGATTGAGTTAGGCTTCGGGGACTCGGGGCGACTGGGGCCCAGGGGGTACTCAAGCAGCTGCCATGCGTCGGGGGCCGTCCACCTCGTGTGGAAGCTCCAGGCAGGGACCCCGAGGCAGTGGGCCCACGAGCAGTAAGTCGTGCGTGTCCTTCTACAGAAGGAAGGCTCAAGAATAGTGAAGAGTCGTCTGGTGACGATTTTGTTCGTTCTCTTTTCCGGCTGTCTCGAATCCTTTTTTTGTCTATTTTTTCTGTTCCTTCCGATGTCCGCCTGTAGGAGGACACGCCCGACCTTAACACTAGCACCCTGGAGCGCTGAGCCCCTTGGGGCGTCCGTGGGCCACGGAACCTCCAACGAGGCTCCCCTGACCCCTGGTGCTCCCTCCCCCTCCTCTGCCCTTACCCCTGGTGCTCCTCTTGCCCTGCCCTGGTGCTCCTCTTACCCCTTTGCCCCTGGTGCTCCTCTTATCGGGGGCGGCAAAGAGGGGGGTGATGACTAGGGGGGGTGGATATCATGGCGGGGGCCACGATATTTCCCCAGATTTCAGGGCGCCTCTTCTTATTTCATCACGTCCCTGGCCCCCCCCACGCTGGGCCGCGCACATGCCGCCGGCCACGATTTGCACCCCCCCTCTTGGACACCCCCCTCTTGGCCGCTCCCGAAAGACGGGGCAAGTACAACGACGATCCAAGGGACGGGGAGGCAGGGGGGAGGAGGAGGCGGAGGAGGGGGAGGAGGAGGCGGAGGAGGAGGAGGAGGCGGAGGAGGTGCTCCTCTTACCCCTGGTGCTCCTCTTACCCCTGTGCTCCTCTTACCCCTGGTGCTCCTCCTCCCTCCTCCTTCCTCTGCGGCGGGCGGGGGCCGCCGTGGAGGCGGCGACCCGAGCCCGAGCCGAGGTGATCCCGTACTGGAATCTGCCCGGCGCCGCCTCGCTTTTCAAGGAGCTCGCACTGGAGGAGGAGGAGAGGGAGGAGGAGGAGGAGGAGGAGGAGGAGGAGGAGGAGGAGGAGGAGGAGGAGGAGGAGGAGGAGGAGGAGGAGGAGGAGGAGGAGGAGGAGGAGGAGGAGGAGAGGAGGAGGGAGGAGGGAGGAGGAGGAGAAGGAGGAGGAAACAGGAGGAGGAGGAAGCAGGAGGAGGAGGAGGAGGAGGAGGAGGAGGAGGAAACGGGAGGAGGAGGAAGCAGGAGGAGGAGGAGGAAACAGGAGGAGGAGGAGGAGGTGGAGGAGGATGTTTGTTGGGGACGGGCCTGAAGCCAGAACATCACCGACGGTCAGCCGAAGTCGGAGGCCTCCGAGTCTGACTCGACGTCGTTGCGCGAGGCTCGGAGGGAGGCGGCCCCTAGGTCCTTGACCCAGGGCAAGTCCGACTCTTCAGGGCCAAACGAATCCAAAGCCTGCTCTCGCGGGGCGAACCCCCCCGCGAAGCGGCACGAGGCGGGACCGGAGCCTTCCTGGGGGGCCTGGCCATCCTCTTCCAGCGTCTGAGCCAAGACCCTGCGCTCGGCGAGGCTAAGGGCCTCGTGGGCCCCCAGAGGCAAATTCTTCAGGTCCTTCTTATAAGACGGGAACTTACCTGGCCGAATCCTTCTCAGCTGGTCATGAATTCCGCCTGTTGACGATTGAGGCCTACACGGGCCTCTTTCTCATGCATTGGGAGCCCCAGAGAAAAACGATCCACACTTGCAACACAACTGGATCCTGCTCCTGGGGGTCCCGAGAGGTTCAAACACTGGGCAGGCCAAAAACGCCTGGCCGTCCGCCCTAACAACTTGCCGAGAGAGAGGCCGCCACTCCTCCCCCAAGTCCACCGAACCTCCACCCTCCCTTGGATCATCGGCCGGGGCCTGGCCTTCAGCAGCTTCCTCATGCTGGGGCTGCTGCCGAGGGCCATCACTGCCTGCCGAACAGAGCACGAGGCCTGTCGTGCCACGGGGCCCTCCACTCCAGACGTGGCGACCTCGACACTCCCCGCCCACCTGCCACGCTTGGCTGGCGCGGCACCGAGGGCCCCTGTGCACATTGGCCTCCTCGTCGCCGACTCCCTCCTCCTCCTCCTCCTCCTCCTCCTCCTCCTCCTCCTCCTCCTCCTCCTCCTCGCGACACTCGGCCCCGAATTTCGCGAACGCATCAGCGTGCCCGTTGGCCCGTCTTTTCCACTCCGTGCTTCTGCCCGCCGCAGCGTCGGCGGCAGCCGCATGGCCTAAAGTCTTCGTGGCACTCGACATCGCCGAGAGCAAACGCGCACCACGCAGGACCCCAAAGGTGGCCACGAGGGGCCCCGGGGCCCTCGTGGCCGCGAGGAGCACTTTGGACTCGCTGGCCCACGGGCCAGCGAGTCCAAAGTGCTCTGGCAATCAGTACAACACGGAAAAGTGGGGGAAGACCTGCTCGCGTCAGCACATGTACAGCATAGTCTTCCCCGTCCTTGCTAGTCTGCTGCGGGGCCGCGCTCATGGGTACCGGACCGTGCGCCGCCGATAGCAAGGTCCCGAACCCGTCAACCTGCCCTGGTGAGCCCGTCGAGGCCCACGCACTTCGCCGACCCGTCCAGGAAGAGCAACCCTGAGAGAAGGCCCGTCTCGGGCCGCTGGCGCCAGTGGACTGTCCGAGTGGGCTCCGCAAAGTCGAAGAGGGGCCTGGGGATGCGGGAAGGTGCACCTCGCGAACCTCTCCGCCGTCATCGGGCCTGGCTGCTTTGCTTTCCGCGCGCAGCCACACGGGCGAACACTCGCAAGGTCACGACGCCGAACGGCACGAGCTGGGCACTCGTACTGACGGTGCCATAAAGTGCCTGGCGCCTCCCTGCACAACTGACACGGCTCGTCATCGTGAAGGGTGTGAGCGAACGTTCGTGCTTGAGGCCAAGGAACTCCCGAATCCAGTCCTCGAAGACACCTCTGATGATGCCTACCCCAGACCTCCGACTTCTCCCTGAACATCCTGGTGATCCCGTCCCAGAAGATGGGGTAGACTGGAGGCCCATGAAGGCCATTCTGCAAGTGAAGTGCATGCCTATCAGAAGCTCGAACCGCCCCCTGCCTGACCAGAGTCCTGACTTGCATCGGGGACAGCCTGAACGGATCATGCACCACATTCAAGTCATCTCTGATGCTGTGCTGGTCAGCGAAGTCCCAGCCTAGCCCTCGAAGAGTCAAGAGGGCAACATCACTAGGAGAAGAAGCCGACCTCCAAGGCTGGGCCGAATTCTGGAACTCATCAATCGAGGCCCGCATCGTGCTGGCCAAGACCTGGAGGAGGAGGAGGGGGAGGAGGAGGAGGAGGAGGAGGAGGAGGAGGAGGAGGAGGGACCGCCTCCCAGACAGCTGTGGCCCACATGAGAATGGCGTGCCCCGCCGAAGCCGCCAGGGGGTCCACTTTTGTGTGCCGAGCCCGTACGTGTACATTCCGAGCCCAACCGAAGCACCTTTGGGGAGCCTGTCAAGGGAGCTAGCTGCGCCACTACGGAGGCCAGCCATCTTGGAAGGAGCCGCTCCTGAGACCGAGGAACCCCGGAGGGCCGACGCCACGGGCCCCATCCTGTGAACCATCCCGATGTGCGCCCCAGCTCCTCGAAGCATCCTCAACCTCCTGGCCCGAGACGACGCCGCGGAGGACCTGGCATTCTGGATCCCGACCCCGCGGAGGCCCCCTCAGGAGTCGCACTTGTGCTTGAGCTCCTCGTGGTATATCAGTCCTGCACGAGGCGGGGAGGGTCGAGGCCTGGGACAGGTGCTTCTCAGCCTCCTTTGAGCAGAGGTGGGCGCACCTCTTCAACTCCACTAAGGGGGCCACATGCGAACCCTACCCCTACCCCCCACGATTTCTGAGGGGGGGGGTGGGGTTCACTCCGTTCGGGAGCTGCTGAGCGAAATGCCCCCACCCTCCCCCTCAGAAATCGTGGGGGGCAGGGGTAGGGTTCGCATGTGGCCCCCTATCCACAGGCGGCTGCAGCTGCTCGAAGCTCTTGAAAGGAGACTCAACTGCACCAGCTAACTGAGCAGCAACCTGGATCCGGGGCCCACAGCTCTGTACTGTGATGTCGTCGACCACGTTGCGCACATACAGTGAGCGGCTTGAATAAGGAACACTTACTTTTCAAAAGGGGCTCGGTCGTTCCTTAGATTTTACATGCGTTATTTACAGCTCCTTATGCGTTATTTGTTATTTATCGTTCCTGATGCGTTATTCCTTGGGATAAAAAGGGGCTTCATTCCTTATTTATCGTTCCTTAGGTCAGGCCGATGACTGTACAGCAGATTTCTGTTCTCACGAGCTTCCAGCAGCGGCCCCAGCAGCAGCATCTTGGCAAAGGTCGTGGCTCCCGAACAGCCGGCGACGAGCGCACCGTTCGACCCGACGACGGCCGAAGCGGCACCCCCACAGAGCAGCGCACGGAAGCCAGCGTAAATGGTGCAGTAGCCTCTGATCAAGCACACTGGGAAGCCGAAACGTTTGGAGGAGGAGGAGGAGGAGGAGGAGGTGGCGGCGGAGGAGGAGGAGGAGGAGGAGGAGGAGGAGGGAGGAGAGGGAGAGGGGGGGAGGAGGAGGCGGAGGAGGCGGAGGAGGGGAGGGTGGCAGGAGAGCGGGAGGCGGGGGGAAGAGGAGGACGCGGTCCTTCGTCCTCTTTGGGAGAAGGAGGAGGAGGAGGAGGAGGAGGAGGTGGCGGAGCGGGAAGGCGGCTTTCCCGTGTCTGTGCCGTCCGTATTTTCTCGCCTCCTCCCGTTCTGCATCGCGCCTTGGCCGTCAGTCGTGGCGGAGATTTCTGGTGATTGTGATGGAGTTGGTGATGATGATGATGATGATGATGATGATGATGATGATGATGATGATGATGATGATGATGCTAACGATGCTGATGCTGATGATGTAATCAGCTGGTGATGATGCTGCTGCTGATGATGCTGCTGATGATGATGGTGCTGATCGTGGCGATGCTGATGATGCTGTTGATGATGATGATGATGATGAGGAGACTGATGATGATGATGCTTATGATGATGATCATGATTAGGATGATGATGCTGATGATGATGCTGAGGATGATGGACATGATGATGCTGCTGCGGATGATGATGATGATGATGATGACGACACCGACGATGATGATGATGATGATGATGATGATGATGATGATGCTGATGATGCTTATGATGCTGATGATGATGATGCTTTTCGACGATACTGATTGCGATTATGATGCTGATGATCTTGATGCTGATACCGACGATGATGATAATGGTGATGATGCTGGTGATGCTGTTGATGATGCTGATGCTGATGTTGATGATGATGACGATGATGCTGTTGATGATGGTGGTGATGGTGGTGGTGATGATGTTGAGGATGATGATGATGCTGATGATGATGATGATGATGATGATGGGGACGACGGTGATGATGCTGACGATGATGCTGATGCTGCTGATGATGATGCTGATGCTGATGATGACGATGATGGTGATGCTGCTGCTGATGATGATGCTGATGATGATGATGATGATGCTGACGAGGATGATGATGATGATGATGATGATGATGATGATGATGATGACGATGATGATGCTGATGATGATGATGATGATGATGATGATGATGATGATGATGATGATAATGATGATGATGATGATGATGATGATGATGATGATGATGATGCGGATGATGATGCTGATGGGGACGACGACGATGATGATGATGAGGATGATGATGACGCTGACGATGAGGATGCTGCTGATGCTGATGCTGATGCTGATGCTGATGATGATGATGATGATGATGATGACGACGATGATGATGATGATGATGATGATGATGATGATGATGATGATGATGATGATGATGATGATGATGATGATGATGATGATGATGATGATGATGATGATGATGATGCTGATGATGATGATGATGATGATGAGGAGGAGGAGGAGGAGGAGGAGGAGGAGGAGGAGGAGGAGGATGATGATCAGGAGGAGGAGGAGGAGGAGGAGGAGGAGGAGGAGGAGGAGGAGGAGGAGGAGGCGGAGGACGAGAAGGAGGAGGAGGAGGAGGACGAGGAGGACGATGATACTCATGGTGATGATGGTGCCAGCCACGACGGTAACGATGATGACGGCGACGGCCACGTTGACGCCGATCGCGTCGACAACCACGGAGAGCGATCCTGTTATTCCGCATGCTCTGACCATGGGCTGTGGTGGTGGGTCCTTCGAACTGCCTGGCGGCAGTGATGTCGGGACGCACCCGAGGGGCAGCCTGTCTGTTCTGACCGCATCGGCGCCGCGCACGCGTGCTGCCTCGTCGGTGGGCAGAAGGAGAGAGCCGCCCCAGGCGATCCCGTCCAGCGGACGACCGTGGAACGACGGCCCGCCAGACCCGAAAGGGGGGTCGCGAGGCACCGCCAGCCGAGCAGAGCCCCGTTGTAGGCACTTCGGGGCGGATCCGACCGAGCGCCAGCTCCGCCGCGCCACTCCCGATCGGCGCAGGGGCCGTGGCCTGCCACGGGGCACGGGCCACACATGGGGGACGCGTACGGGAGACAGCTCGCATCGGAGCAGCGGCGGCAGGCCATCAATGCCTCCTCTGCGCCCGGGAAGGTCAGCTCTTGCCGCTCGGCAGGCAGGCGGGTGTCACCAAGCACGGGCGGATCATGCTGAACACCTTACCAGCGTGGTCTCGCACGGCCCACATCGCAGGCGGGAGTGGCCAGATCTGCAGGGCTGCGCCCCCTGCTGCAGCCCCCCACCCCCCCCGGCGGAGCCATCTCGTGACCATATTGGAGCAGTTTCGCTCCTCCCCCCTCGCCCTCTCGCCCCTCTCTCCTTCCCCTCCCCTCCCCTCTCTGCGCAGTGGCATAAAGCTGGCTTACTCGTCGTGTGCACGTCCTTCACCTGCATGCAGGTCGCACTCCCGTCAACCTTTTGGTTTGCCTGGCCTCTGCTCCTTTGCTTGGGGCCATCTTCGGGCCATCTTGGGCCATCTCGGGCCTATTTTCAGGCTTCTGGGCCTCTTCTTGAGGCCGTCTTAGGACAATCTCGGATTTCGTTCGGCCACCCTGGGCGATTTGGGCGTCATCTCGGAGTCTTTTGGGGTCGCCTTGTGGCCGCCTCGGGCACTCTCGGGGGCCATGGGGGCCATCTTGAAGCGATCTTTGGACATCTCGGGAGGAGAACGAGCGAGTGGCACAACTCATGGAAGCTGATGCTCGCTTCATGTTTTTCGCCCCCTCGGAGGCGTCTTTGTGGGCCCCTCCTTGGCCATCTGGGGCCCACCTTCAGCCGTCTTGGGCTTCCGAAGCTCTTCTCGGGGCCTCCTGGGCCACCTGCGAGCCTCCCGGGGGGGACCTCCTGGCCTGTTCTGCTGCCCCGAGCCCCCTGGTAGACTTGTAAACGATAAACGATAAACGATACCTCAGATTTCGTAATAAAAGGGAGGGGGTCTCAACCCTCCCAGACGAGAAGTTTTAGACCCCCCCAGACCATCCATGAAGGGGCGGCCCTTTGCCCAGACCCCCCCGAACCCTCCAAGACAGCTCAAATCAGACCCCCCCCCAAATGTGACCCCCCCGACTTTATTATGGAATCCGGAGTACTCAGCGCAATCTATGTTTTCGGGGGTCTCCTGAAGGAGCCGGACCCAGGGCCCGTGGAGCCGTAACCCGTGCTGGCGTGTGCCCCGCCGGGGGCGGTCCCCCCCCATCTCCTGCGTGTTTCTCGGGGGCTGCATGGAGGGGGGTGATGACCAGGGTTATGATGCACCAACCTACTTTAGCCTTGACCACCAGGAAGAGTTTCGAGCGCCCAAGAGAATACCGAAATTCAAGGGTTCTCACGTGTCGGGCCCTGGGAGACACTCGCCCGGCACTGTTTCGACACTCTTTTGACACTTTTCGGGGTGCTCGAAGTAATTTCTGGGATGTGGTCCTGAAGTAGGATGGGAACAAGATAATAGTAGACAGTCAAATGGAGACAGGACTGGAGATGCAAGTCGGCGGCGAGCGAGGGGGGGAAGTGAGAAGGGGCGGGCCTTCTCAGAAGGCTCGGAAGTCCCCCGGCCTTCCGATAGGTTTCCTAGGCCTTCCCCGAGGACAGAAAGAGCTTCTGAGAAGGCGCGAGGGCTTCTGAGAAGTTCCGCCGCCTTCTCAGAAGGCCTTCTCCTTCTCATTTCTCCCCTCGCTTGCCGCCGAGCAAGAGACAATCACCAAAAGGCAACGCGAACTACACCACACAGTGGCCCAGCAGACAACCCCACAGCCACCTGGCGTCCCAATGGGGCCATCAGATTTTGTCGTCTCTGTCCTCTCCGTTTTTCATGTTTTTGTTTTGTTATGTTTTTTGTGTTGGTTGATTTGCTTTTGCGTCTCCGCGTGCCCATCTCCCGTCTTGTGTGGCGTCAAGGACCAGAAAGACCACCAGGACAACCTCCTTCTCCTGAACTCCATGCTGGACGAGCTGATCCGGAACGCCATGGCGGAGGCCGAGAAGAACCGGGGCGCGGTGAGACCGGCCCCGCCTTCGCCTGGGACAGATCGGCTCCAGAGCGTTATCGGGGGCGCTCTCGGGTCCTCTTCCTCCTCCGCCTCCTCCTCCTCCTCCTCCGCCTCCTCATCCCTCCCCTCTCCTCCTCCTCCTCCTCCTCCTCCTCCTCCTCTCCTCCTCCTCCCCCTCCTCCTCCTCCTCCTCCTCCTCCCTCCTCCCTCCTCCTCCTCCTCCTCCTCCTCCTCCTCCTCCTCCTCCTCCTCCTCCTCGGACTGCAGCGTGTTTGCCGCGTGGCGCTGCTTTCCTGGAGCAGACACTCGCTGAGCCTAAGCCTCCGCCTCCTCCGCCTCCTCCTCCGCGTCCTGGAGCGCTCTGGAACGGCTCCCGGCGCTCGGTGCAGCCTCCAGGGCCGCCGGGTCTCAGAGGTTCGCGGTTGTGGGGCACTCCGTGAGGGGGGTGGGGGCGATCAAGGCGGGCGGATCGGGGGCTCGGGCCGCGCGGGGCCCCGAGAGTGCGCGAGGGGTGCGCCTTGCTGCAGGGGCGCCCTCGAAGTGATCCGCGCGTCGCGCCTCGCGGTTCGGCTGCGAACTCCGCCTCGTCCTCCTCTCCTCCCCTGGGGGGCGGAGCGAGAGCGCGGAGTTCTTCGTGCTCTCGCGCGTCGCGCAGCGCGAGAGCGCGAGGTTAGGCGCCCTGCTGTCTCTTCTCCCTTCCTTCTGTGCCCCCATGAGGTTGACCCCCCAGACTTGTCCGGGTGGTCCGGGCCTCGTCTCAGGTGAAGGGGGACATGTCCATGATGCAGTTCCTCGTCCAGACGCGCGGCGAGGACGTCATCGGGGGACGGCGGAGGGAGGGATTACGAATCAACCTCACTGATGCGCCTTGACGGTCCTGGATCGTGCCAGAAAGCCACTCCTGGGACTTCAACACCGCGAATCAACGTACCTGCGGCACCCTGACCATCCTACATCGCTCCGAAGCACCATTTTCGGTATATTAACCATGATTCCGTGAAACTCGTGCAAATTAGTAAAACGAATCTGCGCGACGCTAAGGTGAGAACCACATTTTGGGAAGGAGCCTCCCTCCATTCATGAGCATCTTGCACCACTGTAAAACGAATGTGCGCGGCGCTCAGGCGAGAGCCACATGTTGATAACGACCTGTCCTCAATCCGTGAAATTCTTGCAAATGTTGATAACGAATGTGCCTGGCGCTAAGGCGAGAGCCACATTCTGAAAACGATCCGCCCTCAATCCGTGAAGCTCTTGCAACATTTTGACACGATCGCTACATTTTGGAAACGACCCGCCCTCCATCAGTGAAACTGTTGCCAAAGTTGGAGCTTCAGGGACATAAATACCAGGAAAGTCTCACGCGAAACGCCCGGCCCGCCCTTCGACCGGCCGTGGGGGTGCGACAGGGAGGAGTTTTTTAACAGGGAAAGGACTGGAGGAGGAGGAGGAGGAGGAGGAGGAGGAAGAGGAGGAGGAGGAGGAGGAGGAGGAGGAGGAGGAGGAGGAGGAGGAGGAGGATCGAGGCTCGAGGATCCATTCTTTCTCGTCCAGCTGCGGGGCGAGGACGTCACAGCCCGGCAGCTCCGCGACGACCTTATGACGCTGCTGGTGGCGGGTCACGAGACCACCGCCGCCCTGCTCACCTGGACCATGTTCGAGCTGACGAAAGAGGAGAACCTGGACATCCTGGACGAGCTGAGGACCTCGAGCGTGCGATCCTTGGGCACAGGAAGGGTGGGGAGGAGGAGGAGGAGGAGGAGGAGGAGGAGGAGGAGGAGGAGGAGGAGGAGGAGGAGGAGGAGGAGGAGGAGGAGGAGGAGGAGGAGGAGGTCGAGGAAATGATCGGTAACATCGGCGCGCTCCGTTGCCCAATGAGGCGGCACTGGATTTAAGTCGGGTCTGTTCCTCTACAGGGCGAATATTCAAAAATAGTCAAAAACAGTCAGGGGACGATTTTTTGACCATTTTCGAGTATTTCAGGGCATTTTTTGGGTATTTTCAATTTTTCGCTTAAGATCGGCCTGTAGGGGGACAGGGATGGAGGTGGAAGGAGAGTGGGGCGTCCTCAGCAGCCCGGTTCGAGAGCAGAGAGTCGCCAGTCCATCGCGACCCGCTGCCCGTCGCACCCTTTCGCGAGCGGCGCTGCGGCTGCCCTACTCGGCCTCCGTGCTTGCGGCATGTCCTCGCGCGAGGGTGGCGCGCTGGCCACGCAGGTGGCCGAGCTGAAGGACTGCGCCAAGCAGGCGGCGGACAACGGGGAGTACGGTCAGGTTGTGAAGCTCGCTGCGCGGATCCAGTAGCTGGGGCGGCTGCAGCGTGTCGAGGCACTGGGCGCGTCGCTGAGAGCCGTCGAGGAACGCGTGAGCGCACACATCGCCAGCATGGACTCCGCCAGGGCCGAGCTTCGCCGCGGCATGGCCGCGCTGGCCGAGGCCAGGGCGCCGCTGCCGCACGCGCCGCCAGAGAGCGCGGAAGTCCCCGCGCCAGAGCCCGACGAGGCCGGGGCGCGGCAGCTACCGCACATGCCTGAAGTGGAGGAGGTGAATGTAACGGAGAGGCAGGAGCTGTGGGAGAAGTTCGGCTGCTTTGAGCTCGACCCCATGCCCGGCAGCGGAGCAGTTGTCCTGGTGGACGCGGAGTGGGTGGTGGAGCGGGCGGGCTCTGGCGGAACCCTCGAGACGCGCCAGGCCTTGCTGCCGACTGCGTTCATGCCCCATAGCGGGGTCAAAGCTGCCACAGTTGATACTGGCGAGGGCCAAGTGCCACTGCTGCACGTCGCTTGTATCTCACATTGTTGGTTGCAGGCTAATCACCCCGACCCTCACGGCCACAACCTGCGCATCCTGGGCTGGGTTTTGCAGTTGCTGTCCGCAGATCCTTTCCCTAATTTCACTGGCCGCTGGGCAGTGTTCATGGATTTCTATTGCATCCACCAGAACTGCAGGGATTGAGAGGGTGCCCCTCAGCGGTACACGTATCAGCGGCTCGAAGGGTCAGAGTGCTTTGAGGCCGACGCAATCGGCCGCTTCGAGCGCGAGTGTGAACTCTTCAAAAGATGCCTTGGACAGCCTTGAGAGTTTCTACTCCCACCCCGCCACAGTCGTATTCATGCTGACACCGTTCCCCGATGATTGTGACAATCCCTCAGTAGACACCCGGTTTGGCAACAGTGCGCCTTCTTTCGACCGCGGCTGGTGTTATTGCGAGTATTCATGGGCAATGTTGACGGAGAATTGGGCCTGCTTGGTGGACCTCGGACAAGTCACTGGAGACGAGACAACCTATCATGGCTATCCAGAGGTCTCCGTCGGTTCGCGGGTGGACACGTGCGCCGCAGGGCGGAAGGCGCCCGCCTTGCCCGACGCTTTTGAAGCGGAGCTTCACAGCAAGGGCTACACGAACGGCAAGGACGATCGCCCACGGGTTGCCGAGCTGTAGCGGTCGACGTTCGCGCAGCGCTTCGAGTCCGCGGAGCGGCTGGTGTACCAGAGGCTGGGATGGGGGGACGAAGAGGTCAGGCAGGTGGCCGCGGCACTTGCTCCAGGCGCCCTGCCGCGCCTGCAGTACCTTAACCTCGCCGACAACCGCGTGGGGGATGAGGGCGCGGCCGCCCTGGCCTGCCGCGCCTGCAGGTCAGGTGCTCGACCTCGCGAGCAACCGCGCGGGGGACGAGGGCGCGGCCGCCCTGGCGCTGCGCGCGGCGTGGGCCGCGGGCGGCTGGCCCGTGGGCGGCGCGGTCAAGTTTCCCTTCGTCGGCGCGGTCCCGAGGGGCTTGTTCGTCTGAGGGCCTGCCCGCTCGGAGTCTCCGGAGCCCTCGCTGCCCCCGTGCTGCTCCTCGTCTGCGCCCCCTGCTTCTCGTCCTCTCTTTCACGCTCTCTCTCTCTCTCTCTTTCTCGCTTTCTGTCTGTCACTCTCTGGGTATTATTTTTGGAGCATTTCTCGACCATTTTGGAGCATTCTTGGGGTATTGTTTTAGTGTTTCGTCGAAAGTCCCCCTGCAGGGGGACGGGCCCGACTTGAGATTAGATTTTGGAGGAGGAGCGCCATAAGAGCGCCCTGGAAGACGTGGGTTGTCGGCCAGTTGAGAAGGCCCAGAGGCCAGCGGCGCCGACCCCGTACGCCAGAGGCAGAGGAGCGGCGCGAGGAGGCGGAGTCGTGAGCTCCGACATCGGGCGCATGAGCTGCCCGCGTAAGGTCGCGCGTGGACGCCCTCCTCCTCCTCCTCCTCCTCCTCCTCCTCCTCCTCCTCCTCCTCCTCCTCCTCCCCCTCCTCGTTTCCAACGACGGGCTCCGTCGCGGTGGACTCTACAGGCGCGCCCACCCCGCTCGCCTTCCTGTAGGCGGGGAGACACGCGCCGCCCCCCCTACGCTGGTCTCCTCCTCGTTTCCAAGGTGGCGTGACGCGCTGGCGGCCCGCGCAAACCGCCGCGTGAGGTCGCTGCGCCATCTCGCGTGAGGCCCGTCTTCCATCGTCGCTCCGATGGGGCAGGCGGGCGAGGAGGAGACCCCCCTGGGATACCTCTCGCCACCTCGGCCGTGATCTCTGGAGGACACATCGTGTACTCGAGCTCGACCGTGATCATGATCTCTCGACTCTCGACCGTATGAAGCCCCAGTATTCTTGAGGATCTGTTTGGAATATCAGGATTCCGAGGGATGTTCCAGATTCTGTAGGACTCCCCTGGCTTTTTGAAGATTCGTTGGGAATCCTGTGGATTCTTCGGGCTTGTTGAATAGTCGTTCGGAGTTCTCCATATTTTTCTTGGGCCCTTAGGATTCCTCCAGAATCCTCATCACCCTCAGGATCTTTTGAGAATCTCCAGAGAGGTCTTCAGAATCCTTCAAGATCGGGGGTGGACAGAACCCCCTCCTTGACACGTCGATTAGTGAATTGTCCGTCTTCGATTCTCGAGAGGGCGACGCGGCCGTCATTTTCCAGGCTTGCGCGCGCCAGGTTTGGGCCCGAGGTCGTTTTCACTAATCTACGTTTTGCTAAACGGGGTTCTGGCCATCCCCGACAGGATCCAAAAGCCTTCATCATCCTTCAGATGTTTTGAGAATCTTTCAACATCAGCAGAATCTTCCAGAAGACTACATAATCCTACATAATCCGCCAGAGTCGTTCAATATCCTTCGGAAATCCTACATAATCCTTCAGTCGGGTGGATTCCTCAGACATCTTCAGGATTCCTCAGAAGCCCTCAGGAGCCCTTAGGATTGAAGCCTTTCAGACGCTCTTCAGAAACTCTCATCGCGGTTGTGATCCAGTATTCCCCTCGAAGATTAGTTCGTATGGTAATTTTGTAGGCTGCGATCAGTTCGTTTCCAGTCGTTCTAATCGGTCCGAAGTAGTTCGTGAACAGTCCGAAGTGGTTGGAATCGATCTTATTCTCCCCCCCCTCTCCCGTCAGCTTCCCCATCGCCTCCCCTCCCCATCACATCCGCCACCCTCTCGTCGGCTGTCCCTGACGAGCGCCCCCGCCAGGCGCATCGGGAAGTCGACATCCCGTGCCGTTCGAATGCGTCCAGAATCGTTGAAGCTTGGCGTATGCCCACCAGCACATCCAGAAACGATCTCGGGCCGATTCGCTTTGGTTATGGATGTGGATGTGCATGCATCCCAGGAGTGCGCATCAATGTCGTTTAACCGACGCCCATCCCCATCCTCATCCTCTTCGAGACCCCCGCCAGATTACCACCCCAATTGGGGATACACCCCTCGAAACCCGAAGGGAACGACCTATATCCCCATCTAAGGGGGGAAGTCGGCCAGTGGGGCCCAGCCCACGCCGCTGGGGACCGGTTAAATTCGGAAGCCAGCAAGGGCTGCTAAATCCGTGGCTGCTAAAATCGACCTCCGGGAAGTTGTCTTCTTCCTTCCGGGAAAAAGCCCGTTGACTGTTTCGCGTGCCGCGCCTCATTCCGGGAAGTTGCTTTTTCCTTCCGGGAGGGCCGTTTTAGCAGCCACGGTTTTAGCAGCCCTCGCCCAGCTTCCGATAAACGATACTCAGCGCAGACTATGTTTTCGGGGGTCTCCCGAAGGAGCCGGACCCAGGGCCCGTGGAGCCGTAACCCGTGCTGGCGTGTGCCCGGCCGGGGGCGCCCCCCCCCCCCCCCCCACCTCCTGCGTGTTTCTCGGGGGCGGCAAGGAGGGGGGTGATGACCAGGGTTATGATGCACCAACCTACTTTAGCTTTGACCATCAGGAAGAACTTCGAGCGCCCCAAAAAGTACCGAAACTCAAGGGTTTTCACGTGTCGGGCCCTGGGAGACACTCGCCCGACACTGTTTCGACACTCTTTTGACACTTTTCCGGGTGCTCGAAATTATTTCTGGGATATGGTCCTTAAGTCGGATGGGAACAACGTACGACTAGGGGGGATGGATATCATGGCGTGGGCCAAGAGATCTCCCCAGATTTCATGGCGCCGCTTCTTATTTCAAGACGTCCCTGGACCCCCCCCCGGGCCGCGCACATGCCGCCGGCCATGATTTGCACCACCCCCCTCTTGGACGCCCCCCTCTTGGTCGCCCCCCGATTTCGATCCGACTTTTCCGACTTGATGTCGGTGCAGTGGAGACCCATGCCAAGAAACACCCTGCTTGCCTCCAGGGTGCCCTGGGTTTCGATGGTTTTGCGATGGAGGGCGTGGCGTTCCCCCACCACAAATCCATGGACGCCCTGGGGTCTCAGGGTTGTTTTTTTTCTCGTGGAAGGTGTGTTGTGGTCGGACCCCGATCCGACCACAACCCCGATGCTTGCATGGCGTTGTTGTGCATCCTGGCGCGGCCGATCCGAGATGATGCCGACTCCGTGCCGATGCGGCCCGAGCCGACGCAATTTCTGATTCGATCCGCTTCCTGCATCCGACACTGACTGATCCTGCCTCTTCTCGTCGCGCAGAGATCACGACGGGATGTTCTTAGCCGTTTTCGGCCTCTGGGGGCCCTCACCAGGCGGCATGCCCCTCTGCAGGAGGCATATTCAATAATAGTGAAACGTACTATGATGACGAGTTTTCGTGCTCTTTTGACTACCTTTCATAGTTCCCAGCCATCCTGTGGTGTTGGGCACTTGTTTTGAAGACACGGTTCCCCGCGTTCCTCCTCCTCCTCCTCCTCCTCCTCCTCCTCCTCCTCTTCCCCCCTCCTCCCGCTCCTCGCTCCTCCCGTCACCCTCCTCACTTTGGCACACCCTCACACGTTTCGTGGCCCCAGAGGGAGCTCCACCGACGGCCCCAGTGCTACCGCGCGCATGCGTTCCCCCACCCAGCACAGCGTTTCGTGGCCCCATAGGGAGCTCCACCGAAGGCTCCAGTGGCACCGCCCCCATGCGTCATCCCCCACCCAGAGCAGCGTTTCGTGGCCCCATGGGGAGCTCCACCGAGGGCCCCAGTGCTGCCGTCCGCATGCGTCCCCCCGCCCAGTACAGCGTTCCATACGGAGCTCCACCGAAGGCCCCAGTGGCACCGCCCGCATGTGTCTCCCCACCCAGTGCAGCCAGTGTTTCGTGGCCCCATACGGAGCTCCACCGACGGCCCCAGTGCTACCGCCCGCATGCGTCCCCCCACCCAGTACAGCGCTTCGTGGTCCCAGGGAGCTCCACCGACGGCCAAGGGAGCTCCACCGAAGGTCCCAGCGCTACCGCCCGCATGTGTCTCCCCCCACCCAGTACAGCTTTTCGTGGCCCCACACCGACGGCCCCAGTGCTACCGCCCGCATGCGTCCCCCACCCAGTACAGCGTTTCGTGGCCACATAAGGGAGCTCCACCGAGGGCCCAGGTGGCACCGCCCGCATGCGTCGCGCCCACCCATCGCAACGTTTCGTGGCCCCATGCGGAGCTCCACCGAAGGCCCAGGTGGCACCGCCTGCATGCGTCCCCCCCGCCCAGTACAGCGAATCTGTGGCCCCATACGGAACTCTACCGTAGGCCGCAGTGGCAGCGTCCGCATGCGTCACCCCCCACCCAGTACAGCCTTTCGTGGCCCCCATCGGGAGCTCCACCGGAAGCCCCAGTGGCACCGCGCGCATGCGTTACCCCCCAGCCAGTACGTGACCCCACAGGGAGCTCCACCGAAGGCCCCAGTGGCAACGCCCGCATGCGTCACCTCCCATCCAGTACAGCGTTTCGTGGCCCCATACGGAGCTCCACCGAAGGCCCCAGTGGCACGGCCGCCCGCATGCGGCCCCTTCCGCTCAGTACAGCGCTTCGTGGCCCCATAGGGAGCTCCACCGAAGGCCCCAGTGGATTCACTCGCATGCGGTTCCCCCACCCAGAGCAGCGTGTCGTGGCCCCATAGGGAGCTCCACCGAAGGTCCCAGTGGCGGTGTTCGCATGCGTTCCCCCCGCCCCGTACAGCGCTTCGTGGCCCCATAGGGAACTTCACCGAAGGCCCTAGTGGCTGTACTCGCATGCGTCCCCCCCGCTCATTGCATTGTTTCGTTGCCCTCTGGGGAGCTCCACCGAAGGCCCCAGTGGCGGCCCCGCCCCACTGCGGCGCACCCCTCACACTTTTCGCGGCCCCCCAGTGCGTTCCGCCTAAAGCACCAGTGGCAGCGCCCATATGGCGGCCCCGCTCCATATCGGCACACCCTTCGCATGCTCCATGGCCCCACGAGGAGATCCCCCGAAGGCGATGCCCGCAACGACGGTACCCAGGCTACTTTCTTGACTGTGTTTGGGTCTTTCGCCAGAATACTTTTTGGATTATTTTTTGCTGCGAGCGAGGGGGGAAGTGAGAAGGGGTGGTCCTTCTCAGCAGGCTCGGAAGTACCCCGGCCTTCTGAGCAGTTTTCAAAGCCTTCCCCGCACACGCTGACAGCCTCTCAGAAGGCTGGAGCCTTCTGGGAAGCCCCGCCGCCTTCTGAGAGGGCCTGCTCCCTTCTCGCTTGCCCCCTTCGCTCGCCGCGGGATTTGTTGATCTCTCCCTTTTTTGTTGTTGTCTTTGTTCCCCAGAGCAAAATGACACCACAGATGAGGAAAAGGACGCGTCTCAAATGCCACCTCTTTGTTGCGCCATACCGAGCACACCATGCCCCTCTTCTCTTCCCTCAGCATTCGCCCGCGGGAGGGCATGCCCTACCTCACACCGGGCCCCCGGGACCGTTTCGGGTCAAGCAGCCGGAGCCGCCAATTCCTAATCCGAGCAGCCGGAGCAGCTCGGATTATGTTACAAATCCGAGCGGGTCATCCAATTCCTGTAACTGTCGCCACTTTTGGGCTCTCGCGCTGCCAGAACGCCATTCCCAGGCCACATTTGTGAGTGAATTGCGAGGAAGTCTCAAGCGGGAGCCCCCTCCCCATGGGGCCCGCGGATCATGTTACTAATCCGAGCGGGTCATCCAATTCTTGTAACTGTCGCCACTTGTGGGCTCTCGCGCTGCCAGAACGCCATTCCCAGGCCACATTTTGAATGCCCGGAGCCAACTGTAGGCCACTTCGTGTTCTTCGTGCTCCCAGAACACCATTCCAGGGCCACATTCTGAATGCCCGGAGCCAACTGTAGGCCACTTCGTGTTCTTCGTGTTCCCAGAACACCACTCCCGGGCCATTTTCTGAATGTCCGGAGCCAAAACAGGAGGGCGAGGCCGGGGGCAACGTAGGGAGCGGGGGAAGGGCCCGCGCCAGGGCGAGAAGAAATATACGCAGAAGAGACAGCCAGGACGCCTCACCAACCACGAGGACGACGGTGAGGGCTTTTTCCAGATTCGCCCAGAGGATTCTCATGTGGTGTCCTTCCGTCGGAGTAATTCTTCTTCCAGGGAAGCGAGAAGGAGGAGGCCTTCTCGGAGGGCGGCGGGACTTTCAGAAGCTCTCCTGCCTTCTGGACAGTTTTTGTTTAAAGTGTCTTCGGGGAAGGCTCAGAAACTTGTCAGAAGGCCGGGGGACTTCCGAACCTTCTGAGCAGGTCTTCTCCTTCTCACTTTCCCCCCTCGCTCGCCGCCGACCTTAGGTATTCGATCATGGATCCCTTGTGAGACGCAAGCGTCCAGCTTCACCGGTGAAGACCGCCGCAGAGCGCGGGAAGCCGCCGAAGACCGCGGGCGACCGCCGAGGACCGCAGGATACCGCCAAGGCCGTCCGGACCGCCGAAAAAGCCGCCAGAAGACCGCCGAAGAACGCCGAAGACCGCCCGAGCCAGATGAGTAACAAGGGGTCAATGGTGGAATGCGTACGGCACCCCCGAGGAAAGAGATCTCGGACGTGCTCGGCAACCGCCGGATCACGTACGCCGACATCCAGAGGCTGCCGTTCCTGCGGGACTGCCTGGTGGAGACGCTGCGCCTGTACCCGGAACCGCCGCTCCTGATCCGAAGGCTCGTCTGGCAGCTGGGGGCCCGCGCGCGCGCGAAAGATGGCCTGTCTCTGTCCGCCTCTGATTCTGCCCCTTCTCGCCTCCTTCCTCGCCCCCTTCCTCGCCCCCTTCCTCGCCCTCCTCGCCCCCTTCCTCGCCCTCCTCGCCCTCTCCCCTCGTCCCTCCTCGCCCCCTTCCTCGCCCTCTCGCCCTCTCTTCCTCGCCCTCTCTTCCTCGCCCGCTCGCCCCCCTCCACGCCCGTGCCGCTCTCCTCCCCTCGCCCGCTGCCCTCCTCGCCCTCGCGCTGGCCAGGCAGGGCTCGTTCTTTGTCTGGACTCCGGGCCCCCCGGGTGTGAAATCGAGCCTGTCCCTCCACGGGAGGAGTACCTAAAAACAGCTAAACAGTAGTCAGGGGGCGATTTTTTGACCACTTTTTCGTGTGTGTTGGGGCTGATCTTTGGAGAATTGCGAGTTTTCGACCCAGGATCCGCCTGTAGGGGGACATGCCCGACCTAACCCGAGGGCTCTCGACCGCCACCTTCGGCAGCACGTGCTCGGACGCTCTGGAAGAAGCTGTCCGGGCTGCGCCAGTCTTCGGGGGGGCGCCTGGATCGGAAGCTGGAGCATCTGCATCACCAGTGGCGGGTTGCCTTTTTTCGATCCCAGGACTTTTTGAGGGTCGAGGACGACGCTCAAAAAGGGTGGGAGTCCCAGGAGGGTGGTTTGGTGTATGCTTCGACCTCAAGAGTTTCTTGTCCTCGACCCTCAAAACAACGAGTCCTTTTGAGGGTGGTGTGGTGTATGCTTTTTTCCCGACGTCCCGGCAAAACAACGAAACATGTATACACCAGGGTCCCGTAATTATGCACCAGGATCCGCGTTCCTGTGCGAATTTCAGCGCAGGGTCGGAAACAGCGTCGGAGGAGGGAGGAGGGAGGAGGGAGGAGGGAGGAGGGAGGAGGGAGGAGGGAGGAGGGAGGAGGGAGGAGGGAGGAGGGAGGAGGCCGTGCTGCGGTCTGCCGACACGACGGGTGCCGTGTTCGTGCGCTCCGCTGGCCCGGATGGTGCGAGGAGGAGCTGGGGCCCGCATGCGCCCCGTGGGCCGCATTCCGAACGTTGGATCCGCGAAGAAGAAATAGCGCCATAAACATACACTTTTGGCGCTCCGCGCGGATTTCTTGCATCCGCACTGGGCCCCCCTGGCGGCGCCTCCGGCGCCGCCCCTGGCGCGCTCCGCGCGCCAGGGAGGGGGGTCCAGCGTCGATCCGAGAAATCCGCGCGGACCTCCGAGTTTTTATGTTTATGTCATTCTTCGTTACCCTAATTATGAAGCCCCCGGAAAGTCGAACATCCTGATCTCTTCGGGTAAGCAACGCTCTCGACTGTCCTGCCTTGGAGGGCCTCTTTTGAGCTTCCTCGTCGAGTGTCTCGGGTCGTCCTCGAGGGCTCCACCTCCTCCTCCTCCTCCTCCTCCTCGATCCTCCTCGATCCTCCTCGATCCTCCTCCTCCTACTCCTCCTCGATCCTCCTCCTCCTCCTCCTCCTCCTCCTCCTCCTCGATGCTGTGGAGGAGGGAGAAGGGGAGATGATGTGTGAAGAACGTCGAGTAAGAGTGCCAGCAGCAGGAGCGATGCCTGTGAGAGGCGGTGGGAGCCATGTGCACGGAGGGGCTGCGTTTCGCCCAAGACTTCCTCCACGCCTCCTCCTCCTCTTCCTCCTCCTCCTCCTCCTCCTCCTCCTCCTCCTCCTCCCCTCCTCCTCTTCCTCCTCCTCCTCCTCCTCCTTCTCCTTCTCTTCCTCCTCCTCTCTCCTCCTCCTCCTCCTCCTCTCCCTCCTCCTCCTCTACTCCTCTTCCTCTTCTTCTTCCTCCTCCCCCTCCTTCCTCCCTACTCCTCTCCCTTCTCTTCCTCCTCCTCCTCCTCCTGCTCCTCCTCCTCGTTTTCCTCCTCCTCCTCCTCCTCCTCCTCTGGATCTGTTTGCACACTCTGAGGGTGGACCCTTTCGGGATGTGGCTCTGGCCGTAGCACTGCGCACGTCAGCGGTGAAAGGCTGCAGTTGCGCGGAGGAAGGGCGGACCGTTTTCGGAAAGTGTGGCTCTCGCCTTAGCGCCGCGCGCCTTCGTTTCTGCACGCCTGCAGCGAACTCGCATACGCGCGGCGGCTCCCTCTCTCGAGCTGGGGCCCCCGCCGGAGAGAGAGCCCTCGGGAGGAGTGGCCAGCAGTCGAGGCTTGTGCAGTAGCTGCGCGCAGGGAGGCCAGCTCCTCGTCAACTTGGGAGGTTCGATGGATACTTCTTCGGATGTGATGGCCAGACGTTTCGGATGATGCAGCAGTTACGCAGGTGGTTCCGGGTGCTCTACAAGCGAGGCCCTCGCTGGGTATTTCCCTGGACTTGCCGAGTCTACCGTCTTCCCGCATGCCCTGCAGCAGCTCGAGGGACGGATGGCGGTTTCGCTCTCAGACGGGGCCCTCACCTGTCAGGAGGGCGCTTGCCGTAGTGACGAGGAGTGCGCGCATGTGATGGTTTGCTCTAAGTCGGGCATGTCCCTCCACAGCAGGAGTGTTCAAAGGTAATCCCAACATAGCCCGGGACGACTGACGTATTTTGACTACGTATGTTTGAATATTTTTGTTGGACCATGCCGCACTTTTCGCCCAAAATCCGCCGGTAGGAGGACAGGCCCGACCTAAGGCTTGCTCGAGCCTGCTCGGGTCGCCACCCGCCCCCGCGCCCCTGCGCGGGCCCCTCCCTGCCGGGCCCAGACGTGCGACGTCCTGACTTCTTCAGAGCGGGGCGCCTGGAAGTCCCCAGACATCGGGCGTCTCGAAACAATCGGGACAGAGGTTTTTCATAGCTTTTGGCCCCTCGGGGCCCTCGCCGGGCCTCGAGGCCGTCAAAAAACGACTCGGGATGAAAAACCGGTCCCGCGTCTCGAAAAAGTCGAGACGTCGGATGTCTGGGTCCCGGCCCTCTGCCCGGGACCGGGTCTTCGTCCTGCACCGTTCTCGGACGCTCGCGAGGCCCGGAGAGGGCCCCTGGAGGCCGCCGCAGACGGCCCCCAAACCTCCCGTCCCGATTTTTTCTGCGGCGCGATCCCAGAGATCCGACGTCGGGTCTTTTTCAGCATGGGGTCCCTGGAAGGGTCGACCCATTCCCCAGGACCTGTTTCTCATCCCGAGTCGTCTCTCAACGGTCCCAGGGCCCAGTGAGGGCCCCTGGAGGCCGAAAATTGCGAAGCATGTCCGTCTTGACTTTTTCGATGCGTCGGATCTCTGGGATCCGGCCTGTTCCCCACCACCACCACAACCAGAAGTTGGAGGGGGAGGGGGTCCTCCTCCTCCGCCTCCACCTCCACCTCCACCTCCACCTCCTCCTCCTCCTCCTCCTCCTCCTCCTCCTCCTCCTCCTCGTCCTTCTCCTCCTCCTCCTCGTCCTCCTGGTTCTCCTCCTCCTTCTAGTCCTCCTCCTAGTCCTCCTAGTCCTCCTCCTCCTAGTCCTCCTCCTCCTCCTCCTCCTCCTAGTCCTCTAGTCCTCCTCCACGCGCGGAGGGTCTCTCCTCCTAGTCCTCCCTCCTCCTCCTCCTCCTCCTCCTCGTCTCCTCCTTCTCCTCCTCCTCTCCCTCCTCCTCCTCCTCCTCCTCCTCCTCCTCCTCCTCCTATTCCCCTCCTCCTCCTCCTCCTCCTCCTCCTCCTCCTCCTCCTCCTCCTCCTCCTCCTCCTCCTCCCTGCCGATCAGTTCCTCCGCCCTCGGGGGCACCTGCCCTAGGGCGGCTGGAAAGATGTTCTATCCCCACGGTGGCGGGTGGGTTTGGACGCCCGAAATGGGTACGGAAAGAATGGGGACAATGCCCAACAGCAGTTCCTCCTCCTACTCCTCCTCCTCCTCCTCCTACTCCCCCCTCCTCCACCTCCTCCTCCTCCTCCTTCCTCCTCCTCATCCTCTCCTCCTCCTATTCCTCCTCCTACCTCCTCCTCCTCCTCCTATTCTCCTCCTCCTCCCCT